ACTCTCTCTCTCTCTCTCTCTCTCTCTCTCTCTCTCTTTCCCTCCTCGCTCTTTTTCTTCCCTCGAGATGTCTTGCCCCCTCGAAGCCTACCGTTTGCGGAGCATGTAGACGGGCAGCGACTTCCTCCGCTGGTGCAGAGCGACGTTCACCTTGTCGCCGTTCCTCGGCACATTCGCACTGTTCGCCGTTCCTCTGTTGTTCTCGTTCATTTTCTGCACCTTGCCGGGATTCTCGCGGAACACGACCGTGCCGGGCCGCTTCACGGCCAACTTGGATGACTTCCCCATCGCGCTGTACTTGGGATCCGCGTCGTCGTGGACCCTCATCTCGCCACCCGGAGCGCCGCACGGAGCGTGGCACGCCGGTGCACGCGGTGCGCGTATATACGCGTAACAGCAACCACTCGCGGCGACCGCTCCGCGAGCGTCACGAGAAGCACGTGTTGCGCGCTACAGCTGTTCCGTGTACGCTCGCCCCGTGTCCGCACGCCCTCTCGCCTCTCGGCCGCGCTCGGAGCGCGCGCGTTCGGTTGCGGTTCGGTTCGGAGATTACGATTGAACACGGCACTTCACGCGGACAGCATGCCGTCGAATGAACGACGAAGTACCGAATGCCTTGGAAATTTTTAGGCGTTACCAGACGCAGACTCCGGATGCGTGCGTCGCGAACAAAGACTCGCTCTCGACGTTACGTATTTCCGGAGAAACCGGCCACGTCCTGTATATAATATCGATATCTTGTTAGGGATATTAGTTAGTGTTACATACAATATTGTGTACAATATAATATAGGATTATATTTAATGAGGGAATAATTTTTGTTTAATAAAGAAATATCTTTTATGTCTGTAGAATTTATAAATATATCATGAAATATAATTTTTTATTATATTTGTGTGTATATTATGTACTTTTTATATTTATATTTGCATATAAAATATTAAATTTCCTGTACGAAAATAATTATATCAGAATATGAAATTAAATTTTTTTCAGATATTTTAATGCTCACAAAATTTAACAATTATTATAAAGTTTTGTAATATCTACAAAGTCTTTTTACAAAGACTCTGTCTTTGAATTCAAATCAAGCAATGAATTCATAGTCGAAATAGATGTCTTTTGTTTTCATTTTCATTCATTTATTCAACAAGCCTTCATTGTTATCAATTAAAAGAATTAATAATTAATAAATTAATAAATTGACCAAAATGTTTGTGGTAATATTTCAAATATTTTTCATCATGAGGTGTAAAAAAGTAAGATTCGCGAATTATCTCTTTCTGACTAATAACGATATCAAAATGAACGCCAACAACACCGGCATCCGTCATTTATCATATCATGTGTCATGCAATAGTAATGTGCTTGCAGTTTAGCATGTCGAAGCTGACCAAGAGAGAAAGAGAGACTATTATCGCTAAAGAACCTTGAGAACATATATTAAAACATACGAGGCAAAAAATGAAGTAATAGCTTTTTTACACAATACTTCAAGAAAATGGTAGAAAAAGACAATACGCAGAGATCGAACGTTTATTACATCAATATACACATCAAATATATCTTATGGACAAGTAATTTCGCAACGCTTTGCTTTTAAATAGACAATGACAATAGGCAATGATTGACATCATCGATTTTAACTATGATAAAAGATATAATAATTCATAATTATCATAAGTTATTTATTATAATAAGTCATAAATAATTAAAAAACTTGACATATATAACTATAATCGACATTGATCGAGACTCAAAGATACAATTACAATTCGATTAATACGAATTTGTTCATATAAATAGAATTGTACAAAATCTTGAATAAAATTGCGTTACGAAATTATCACAGATTAAGCTGTGTAGGAAGACACAATGAGCAGACACTTCGACGAAAGTATTTTTACACACCTATTTGTTTCATGAATTTGCAACTAAGTTATACGTATCATCGTAAAGGTCGATGAATCGGTGTAATCGCATGTGGCGGTACCTAAAATTTAAAAATGCTATTAAAGAATTACCATTTATATTTTAAATTTGTTTTAGCCATTGTATTGTTTTATTGTTTATTGTTATTTAATGTTATACGCGAAAAATAAAAATATATGTAAAATGTGTGTTTGTTAGTAGATTTACCATTGCGCCAATGCGAGACAAATAACGATTTCGTATACTAATGTCAGATTGTGGCTGCATAAGACTGTCAGCTGAGAGATCCGACGTGCACTCCGACGATAATAACTTTTCACGCTCCAAACTTTCGGGCGTGCATTGAATTGCCTCGTATCGTTCTCTTTGTCCTGGCGTCATGTTAAGATAACCACCGCTTGTTGCCATGTCCAACACCCAGATTGCACCAGCGGTTATCAACGAGACTGTTGCAATGTGAAATATATTTACAAAATTTCGCAATTTTTCTATGTGAAAGCGTATCATTCGCTCAAATTTCCAAGTTCACGAGAATACTCACTCCAGAGCCAACCGAGGAAGAACATCTCGAGCATTAAATAGCCTCCTTTATCGACAATTATGCCAGCTACAATTGAAACCACAGCGAGACCTAAGTTTTGTACAGATTGCGCTCTGCGAAAGAAATTATATTAAACTTATACGTCTGACATTCCCAGACATTTTTTATTCTGCTATTACTAAAGAATAAATACTTACATTCCATAGGCAGTTCCAAGTTGATGCTCTGGTGTCACGAGAGCAATCAGAGGCCATAAACTGCTTGCGAGCATAGAATACGCTAGTCCCATAAGAACCATACATACATAAGGGTTCAAGTAAGTAAAAGCGAGTAATCCATGAGCAAGAATAGTCATACAGATACTAATAAACACCCATAATACATTTTTGCCTGTTCTATCCACCATGTAACCTAAGAGAGGCGACGCTATCGCCGATATCGAGTAAACAAGAGAGTTTACTGTATTTGCGGCAGATGGATCGTATTCATATTTTCGCTCGAAAAATACTCTGAAATAAAAATGAAATAATCTTTTCTCTAAAAATATAAAATATGTGACTTTTTCATGTAAAGTTATGTATAAAAGAGCAATAATAAGACAAGTAATTCGAGAAATAATTTTTAACCGACATTATTATCCTTTAACCATTTTACAAATTTAACTAATGCGATTTGAAAATTGTATCAAATTCTTATGTCATCCTGTACGTACTTTCCTAAAGCAATAAAGGGGAATATCGCGACGTAATAAGCGATACAAATGATCGCGACCAGCCAAAAGATCAGCTTGAAATCCTTGACATCCTTCAAACTAACTTCTTGCGGTTCCTGTCCCTCTCCGCGACGGAGCAATCTCTCGGCTCGCTTGTCCATGAGACCCAACACACAAGCACATATCATCGAAATGACGCAAGTGATGGCTGCGAGAAAGAGAACTATACCGATGCACTCTGGGCCCTTGTAATATTGAGATACATAATTGTATACTGGTTCCATCACTAGGAAGTTCACAGTCGATCCTACTCGGGCGAAGCTCAACTGCAGCCCAAACACCATGTTTAATTCTTTACCTTTGAACCAAAGGACCGCGTAACTGTTCTGCGCTACTGCCAATGATTCTGCACCGATTCTATGAGAAAAGAAACAGTTATCGATTCGATAATTTCATAAAATCAAATGTGATGGTTACAAAATATTCTATGCACTGTCTAATGGAACATACCCAAAGACAAATCGACCGACCATCATTAGCCAAAAAGCATTAATCATAGCACCACTTGCAAAAATGACTTGACCGATCAATGTGAGGCCCATGTATATTATCGTACCCAGCCGAATCCCAAAAACGCTGTCCAACAGGAATCCGCCAATAAAGCAGAGGATGACATTCGGCCAAGAATATATAGAATATAATAAGACAAATGTACTAGTTGACATATGCAGATCAGATTTAAAATTATCCTGCAATGCTCCAGGATTATCGAAACAAAAATATGAACCTGAAATTAAAAAAAATGTATATCAGTGTATAGTTTTCATTAGAGACATAATGCTGAAATAAAACAAAAATTTTTAAATTAAGAAAATTTGTTAAATTAGCAAAAATTTAATTAGAGAATTGCAAAATATTATTTGCTAAAGGTTTGATAAGCAAAGATATTCTATCATGGGTGCATAGTTTAATTATCATAGGTTCTAACATCCGCTTACACAACATATGGCGAATATTAAAAAAAAAAAGAGACGTGATAAACTATACAAAGAGAGCGTTCATGATAGCCTTATCTAAGCAATGTCAAATTTTTTTCTTGCAATTAATAACAAGAGAGAATACATTTAAAACAATTTCAATTCAAACTTAATTATTCTCTATTGCCTGTTTCTCTCCATATTGACTTCTGACTTATCGAATCATAAAATAAAATGTTTCTCATAAATATAGACAGATATCTGACATTTTATAAATAAGAACAAATCTCGTACATCAAACATTTCAACATCAAACAAGTATCACATGAATGTTCACTAGGCATCTAATTATCGCATTCGATATTGAAAAATATCGAATAGATCATAATAATGGAGCTCGCGGAAGGCAAATAAAGCGCTCCATCATAATGATATATCTCATTTTGTTGCAATAGCGTTTACTCCTTTGAGGCACAGCGACATTTCGGCGCAACATGTTGACAGGTAAACAACGAGCGGCGTGTTGCGTAAACGATACAGCATATTCGCATTATATATTCAGCTCGTACCGAATCCAAGCAGACACATGAGTGCTAGTCCCAAAAATCGGTAGGGTATTTTTTTCGGGCTGCAGCATCCTTGAAGGGCCGCTTCATCTTCGGATCGGTCCAGATTTCCGCTGCCAGAGTTTTCCGCCACGTCTCCTTCCATGCCGTCGCAATTGAGATCCCCGATTATTTTCGTTCGCGACCGATCCGTCACGTCTTTGTCGCGCCCGACGAGTTTCGCCAGCAGTCACCAGGAAAGGCGGTCAAATTGGAGCAAATGATTAATTAGTCGCTAATGAACGCACAAGTGTCGTTCTTATGTCGCTCCTATGTCACATCGCACGATCGACGGCGGAACAAAGGGGATCGCTGGAACGACGCCTCTCGACTACATCGACTGCATCGCGCAGTTGTCGAGTGCCGTCATTGTTGATCAGTCAATCTGTCAGTCGACGGATGCGTCATTCATGGAGATATATGTAATACAACAAAATAATCGGGATGGCACACGAGGCAAGACGCTCACGCAACAAAATCCCTACAGTCGGAAAGTGCCAACAGGATAGCAGCAAAATGACTAATAGAAACGTATACAACAATGTGATTGGACAATTCCGTCAATTTTCTCTGCCTCAGAGAGACTCAAATCTCAGACTGATTTCTAGCATTGTGCTTTTACACGAAGATTTAATGCCTAATTATTTTTTAATTAATAAATTATACACATATACACACATACATATATATATATATAGTATATATATATATATATAATATATATATATATATAT